CACGGAAGACTTGGCTCTTCCTTGCCGTCAACTTGTAGAATCATGTCTTCTCTGATCGCCGCGCAATCCGAAGAAGCCAAACGTTATCCCTTTGTTCGGCGGTGATCTTTAGCCGCGGCGACGCACAGTTCCCGAAGCCATGGTAGGCAGCGAGGCAACGCGGGTGGCTGAAGATGAAGAGGCGCGCGCGCGCGGGAAAGCCGCTCGGAGTAGATTATGAGCGAGCGATAAACCAATAAAGCATTCGCGTTGCGTCGCCAGATGCGGGCTCGATATAAGCCGGCCAAGAGGCGCGTGCGCGCATAAAGGGATATTTTCCGCAACAGGTGAGTTAGAGCCGCAAGTACGCGCGAGAGCTCGGGCAAGCTTTTAATTTACGAGCGACGACGCGCTTTTAAACCGACGCCGCTCGCGCGAGGGATCGAGGGGACAAAAGTGCGCGCGCTCGAGATCCAAGTTTTGACGGCTCGCGATTAATTACGCGATTTTTCTCGCCAAGTTGCCTTTTCAACCCTGGACGCGAACGCACGGACATCGGTTCGGGGCTTCGCTCGAGTTTTTCATCCGATGATAGATGTCGTCGCTGAAATCCCGCCAAGGAAATTTCATCATTGCGCTACATCATTTTCCACGCCAAACACAACTGCCTCTAATGCTAAAGCTTTGAACCTTTCAAAACTAAAGGCATGCTTTCGTTGTAACATACCCACTAATTAATATATGCAATGTAATTCAAATAATAATAAAATAGGCGAATAGTAAAATAGACGATGATTCAAGAAAAAGAATATCCTTATGAATAATAAAGATCCATAAAATCTGCGTATATCAACAAAGCCATCGAGCAAACAAATGTCTAGCAACACATGTAACGTCTTATAAGAAAAGTCATAAACACATGACGTCCGAAAAGCGAGGAGCTCGTTCGTTTCTCCTAGGCACATATACATGCCAGCCAAACGTATGCGTATAAGGATTAGAGCGCGTCGCTTTTGCAGCAGCGTGTGTGTGTGTGTGTGTATATATATATATATATATATATATATATATGCACACACACACACACACATATATACGTATACATACATGCGTATTTTATTCTCGACGCGCGCGTAATTCAGCGCGAAATACAGCCATAATGCAGCAGCGGCAGCAGCAGCCCGTCTTGTCTAGGCGCTGCGATTATCCTTCAATTATTCGGCGCGACTCGCAAAAGAATGCGTTCGACCATAAATCGTCGGATTAAGCCCCCCTTCTTATATAGTATGTATCTCGCGCGCCATTTAACTTTATCAATTATCCGGCTCCCAGAAGATCTTAACCCCTGAGTTAGCTGCGCGATTCATTGCCATCTCTCCGACGTGGATAACGAAGAGATATGTGCAAGGCGCACGTATCGCTGCGAACGAACCGCTGATTGATTAAGGCGTTCGACGCGCAATTGATTGTTGCGTTTCGCTCCTTCATTCCGACCGAGTCTTTTTTGAGAAAAAAAAAATTGAGAACGATAATTCGCGTACGACTACTAATGTCAGCTATTCTGCACGCGGCTTTTCTTTTCAACTTTCAATTTAAAGGTAACTGCCGATCAATGTTTAACAGCTTGCAGATGACTCAATAATTGCTTGTGGCATCCTTCAATTTTTCAACTTCAACAAAGATCTTCTCCTAACACAATCATTGATGAATGTTCGCGATTGGATTCGCGGAACTTTCTGCGCTTTTCTCGAGCTCCCAATGCCGTTGCCGTTAAAAATTTAACGCCCTCCTAATTCGCCTGCCCGAATGAACAGCGAGACGGCACAGATAGGAAGAGAAGCGTGTGGCGCAACGATCGGAGCAGCTATACAGCCTCTCGCGCGTCCTCGGCATCGGATAAATTAGAGCCGCGCGCCTGCTGCACGCGCAGGCTGTCAAAGGATATACCTGGCACGAGCAGGCGATTAGGAGCAATTTCGCCGCGCTAGTTCGTCCCTAAATTACGAAGACGCTCGAGGTGTCGGATTTCACAGCGCGCCGAGGTACACGCGTGCTTTACTACCGGCCCGACGGTCGTTTTCACAATTTAACGCGTCCGTCGGCGCGCAATTTTCACCGGTCCGCGACTGTTGCTCTCGCCTTCTCGGTCGCTCATTCCAGGCGTCGAGTGCCAGATCAATTGCGTAATTCTAGGAGGGTCGTTCGGCGATCGAACGCCGCGAGCGCCTAGCGGACCCCTAATTGGATCTGCGTCGCCCTGCGCGAACATCGTGGAAGCCCCGTCGCGAGATCGTCACCGGCAAATGAAGAAATCAAGCTTGCAACAGACGCCAAGAAGCAACACCTGACCCCGCGGCAGAGAGTTTCTCGAAAGGCTTACAAATCTCCTGGCAATGGCGAACGCGTGAATCTCTAAATTACGTCTCGAAACTTTATACGTGGTCGCCATACGGGCGCCATAAATAGCGCGGGGCTAGGCGCGCGTCATGCGCAAAAAGCTCGCGGACACGTCTTTATTTCGCGACCACGCGACACTCTCCTTGTGTGTCTGCATGTCTATCTGCAAAGTCGGATGATCTGCCCCTATGATAGACATTTTTTTCTTCCTTTGTTTTGTTTCTCTCAGAAAAGGCTTAGAAAGTCCAAACTTTTCTCCGTTAATGAGTATTAAGTGATTCTAGCGTACTGGACGCCGTAATAACGATTTATTTCAAGCTTCAAGTAGTTTTATTTTTTATAAATAAATACTGCGGTCACTAGATGACAAATAGAATATGATTTTATCGATAAAATATAAGTCTATCGATATTTTGAAAGACACGCTGAAAATGTTACGTAAATAAAAAAAATGATTTTTTTATGCACAAGTTTGATAGTAGCAGATAAATTACTGTACCTTCATACTTTAAAATTTTTATTTGCCTTTCAATACTAAAATTTTTCCAAATATTCCACAATTCAAATGTCGTGGAATAAAATGATTCTTTTTTAATAGTGTGTGCTAGAAAGCTGAAGTTGGCATGCATTGAGATTCTTTAAAGTAGAAGCAAGCGCCTTTAATGAAAATTCCGATATAACAACGGTCCAGGCTAGATTTTTCATGAATATTGCACTATAAAGAGTCGTTCAATCGAATTTTATGATGTCAATTGAAAACTACCTCATAAAATCATCTTCAATAGACTAATCCATTCAACTTGATCGTTTTCAATGTTTTATCCAATATCAATTACTAATACTTTCAAACGCTTGCAATGATTACTCTTTATAAAATTCCAATAAGTATTTGTTGTCAGTTCATAAAGTTAAAAAGAAAATAACTGGAGCTAAATATGAAACAAGTAGTGTCGTCGATCTCGTTGAGCCAAACTGTGTATTTATTAGATTGAAAATATTTAATATTTATGTCTTAAAGAAAACAGATTTGAGTTTTATTTTAACTTTACAAATCACAAAATATAGAAAAATCATCTAAACTATGTGTATAAATTTTAAATTACAGTATATCACTTGGTTTAAATAAATTATACCAAGTGTCACTAGTCCCACCTTAGAATGATCTTTCGGATAAGCTAAACAGTGCTGTTCGCCTCCTCTATAGCTAATAAAACTTGGATGATAAGTTGATAATTTGATAAACTCCAGGATCGTAAACCATCATTTCAGCATTCAATCAATCACCTGCGTTAACAATCTCAAAGTCCTCATCCTCTTTCAAGGTTTTCTTGTTAAACCGACGAACGCTTCTGTACTTCAACATATAATGAACATATAATGATATCGATGTTGTTGCATCTTTGATCAATTCGAAAAATAATTCACGGTGAATCATATCCGTCACATCCATACCATTCAATTTCGAGCTTTCAATGACATTCACATATGGGATACTCCAGTAAAGTCTGTTGGCATGGAAATCAATAACCAAAGGGGAAAAATTTGCAATAAAAGCATCACAATGAGTGACAGTCGGTCCAATTTGTCGTTTGAGTCGTACTAGTGTGTTCCATAGATTAAACTTGTAAACGCTCCTATGTATAGACCTTCCGATTCATCTACCGATATTGTGTATTTGACATTTTTATCCGCCATAGTTCAATGTACAAAAAATAAATGACCGGCATTCGGATGCATAGCAAAACTCATTACTAGCGCGTTTCTTTTCACCATACGTTCATAGCTTCCCAAGGCTTTGTCAAATTTATCATCGCAATTCCGGCTGCGTTGTTGACGAATAAGTTTTTCGCGCGCTAGTCCTGTGCGAGGTCATTCATTCGTTCACCTTTCGACGTTGAATTTCGGTAAATATTTCGTGAAGTACATGCCTTGATTCGTTGAAACGTCTTTGAACTAATGTTTCTTAATTTAGTTCGAACGGTCCTTTGTCAATATACATCAGAGATTTAGTACGGACGTCGTATATCAAACCTTGATAATTTGTTATATTCATCTTTTAAACAATCCCTGGTATTATCGGTCTTCTTGCCTATTTTCCACACTGGTGTTCGTATTCTTTTTGGTGGTACCCGATTTTGAATATTTCATAGTTTTCAGTAGGTCCTCATCCCTGTCTTTGTATACGACGCACTCCGGGAAGGATAATCGCTGTGAAAAATATGTGAAATTTATCGGCAACCTGATTGAACGTTTGATCATTTGCTCGGTTTTTGCAGATTGTTCCCTCGCGCTTATCTTTTGCTTAAGAACAATTACAACAAATCGTCTCTAACTTAAAAATACGTACAGAAAATATTAATTTTTTATTAAAATATGTGATCTATTTGTTAAAATATATAAGCATGTTTTTCGAACAAATTTTGTAAATACTTTGCTATTCGGAAGGTAGATATGTTTTAGTCTCGTATATATAAAATATCATATCAAAGAAATAAAAACAGTACTCAATGTGACGTCTATTGTATTAATGTAGTATTATAAAACATATATTATTTTTCTTAATAACCCGTATCCCTCGATAAACCATAAATATACCATAGAACTAAAAATTAAACTGTTTTCAGTTCCAGTGTCGCCGACGTTGCCGTTAGCCGACATAGTGCGCGAGCGTGAGCAGCAAGAGCGCGAAAGAACGCGACGCTCCGAGTGCGAAAGGGAAGCGATCACAAGAGCGGGAAGTCGACGCGAACGCGAACGCGAACAACAACGCCATCGCCATCATCAGGAAGTCTCGTCGTCCGTCTGCTCCATCGAGCCACCTGATCCTGTCTTCGTCTCATCTTCAGCTGCGCTACTCGCTTTGCAGAAGATCAAGGAAGCTTCTCTGTGAGTACCGTTTGTCTTCTGCACTCCAAGTTGGGCTTTTCTCGCTACCGAATCTACTTTCTCGTCGCTGTATAACGAAATCGTTGGCAAGTCACTCGTAAAAAAAGTGAAAACTGATTTACTCGAATACGCTCGTAACAAGGCTCTCGCGCGACAATGCACCGTAGCGCAGAAACGCAAAGCGCCCGAGCGTCTCTTCTGTCGAGCCGCGAAGCGCACGAATTATATATAAAGGCGCCTACCTCGCTACACACACGCCAATTTCCGCAAATCATAAATAACGAAAGCTCTCTATAAGAGCACAGAAGGCGCGGAACGCAGCTCCTTGAAAAAAGGCGCAGGGCAAAAAAGAAAAGGAAAAAAATCAGCGAACAATGGTACACAAAAACAAGAGCACGTCCGTCATGCACCGGCGAAATGATTGTCACGCGGCAATGTCGGCGCATATAAATTTCTGGCGAGCCGCCCGCATGTCAGCCGCGCGCGCTCGCTCGCCCCCCTGCCGTCGCCGACGTCCTCGCTCTATCTATCGAGGATCTTCAACTAGGCAGTTTCAGCAGGTACATCGGAGAGAGAGAGCGGATGAGTCTCGGCAAAAAATGAAAGAAAAATATACGCCGAGAAATTATGGGATATGTTTTTGCGCGCTCGCAGGGGAGGCGCTGCACGTAATTTCTATTTTGCCAGCCGGAATTTATTTCGAAAGTTCGGTTATTGTTGCGACGCGTTCGCGGCGCCTCGCGCGTCTCGCGGCTCGACAGTCGATTTTACTTTGGACTTGTTTGCGATTAAGCCGAATGCACGCCGTTAACGCTCTCGTGGCGCCTCAACTTTTGCAGTTACGTATTTCGACGAAAGTATCCGATGGTTTTCGAAACGACGGGAACGGACGATGAAGTGCTGTCAATCATTCGTCATATCATTTGAAAGCGTACTTCACGATGTTCTGTTTCTTTTTCCGCGAGACAAGTTCAAAATCCAAATGAATAATTCTGCACGCGTCACATTGATCATCCATAAAACTACGATAAACCAATAAACAATGAATTATACATCGTGAATAATCCATCGAATAGCGCCACGTCTCATAAACCGCAAAGTCATGGAAAGCGTAGAGCGCAAATACCTCGCTCGTCCATATAATCGAGGGCAAAAAAAATTGAGTTGCTCGAGCAATTTAAGTGCCATACACAGGCGCACGCGAATGGTTTCCAATAATCAAAACATCAACGCTGTTTTTCCGATGCTTTTAACAGCTTGCGCCTCGTTATAAATCACGGCACTTTACGCATCGCGGAAATTTGTCGTGTCGCGGTCGCGCCAAAGAAAAGTAGACGAGCGTAAAATCGGTAATGCGCGCCGATAATAAATCACCGGCTTCTTGTGCTCCCCGATGCCTTTATGATGATTTCGCAAGAAGCGACAAATTGTTTCGTTGCGAGCTTAAGTGCGGACGCGCGGACGGACATTGATTCGCTTGGCGAATTCGCGGAAAGGCCGTTTTGATGAGGTTTTGCGTGCGAGCGCGTGTAGTAGTAGATTGATTTAGAAACGGCTGTTATATCGCACGCCGCGTCCTTTTTTCTTCTTTTTCGAGCTCTTTAATGCCGCCAAATGAGCTTCGTGCTCGAATGCCGCGCCAAACGCGCGCAAGAAAATATTGTAATGCCGCGCGGCGCGCATCGCCTACCTTGTGAGCGCTGCCGAGCTCCGGCGCTTTTTACTCGCATTAAGAATACTGCATACTAATACCCTTTCTTTACTCAAAAGGTTTAGCCTCTTTCGATACCGTCCATCAAAAATTACGCGCGTCCGAAGACACGGTACCTACGCTGAAATTTCACCTCGGCAGCTTTTTGCCCAATTTATCTTAAAGATCGCCCTTTCTCTCTCTCTCTCTCTCTCTCGTATGATCTCCGAAACCCCAAAATAATTTTCACCGAGTATTCCCCTTCGTGATGAAGAGAAAAAGGAGCAACCAGCCTCGCCTAAATTACGTGCACCTGCGCGGACGGCCCTTTCGCGCGAAGAAGGCCCACCTATCTCGCGCAATTACTCTGTGCAAAATTCGTAAAGTAACACGTCGATACACGGAAGCGGACGCACACACCCGAAGCAAAATCAGCTCTCCGAGATGATTTCGCTGGGGCGGTTGTAATTTCCAAAAGGCGCGCGCGTCGTTAAGCGGTTAATTGTTTAACCGTGGCCACAGCCATGTTCCATGATCTAACGACAGGTTTCCTTGATGTGCGCGCCAAAAACTGACTCGCACGGGGCCTTTTGTAATCAAACGATCGGCGTATTTGTGTTTTTCATTCATTTTATGGGCTGGGATTATGCGAACCCGTATAATACATACATGTATATGCGTGCTGTAAAATCGTGCGCGCTTTCTTTTTTATTATTGCGCCGATGAATATAAATCGGCATCGTATCCGAGCGACGAAAGAAGGATAAGTTAAATGGGTCGTCGATCGGGGCACCGTCATAAATATATGAATTGCTACGACGATTCAGTACACGCGCCGCTAATGGGCAACAAGACATACCAGTTTGCAAAAATTGCAGAAAAAACACAAGCGACAGGTGGCTCTCCCTCGAGTCGTCCAGAAACGGAAATTCTTACGAAAGCTCGCTCGCACGCGCGGAAAAACGGCCCACATAGCATGCCGATGAATTTTTCATCTCGAAAGTTGACCGACAGCGCGAACTATAAAAACTTGATGCTGATGATGACGAATGAAGACATCGACACGCTTATGAGTTTTGATTTCATTTTTTACCCTCCACGAGCGAGTACTTTTGCGCTTCACATCGCCATAATCAATGGCCGAGGTCGTTGACATGACAGGATCGCCTCGTCGTTGGCTTTACGTTTGCGCGGACCGTTGAAACCGATTGGGTTGGGTTGGGTTGACAATTCGTCGGTTGATCGATACTATTTTATTGCGTACCGCGGATTTGACTCCGAATCGTAATTTATCGATTTTGTGTTGTTTGTTTTGATGAATAATCGACCGAAAGAGGGCTGGTAAAAGACTGCAATCTAAAATATGCTCGACAGTTCTATACTTATACATAGCATTACGAAATTAACTTAGTAAGAAAAGAATATGCAATCATCGCATTCCAATTGAGTATTTGACAAATGCCCCGTCAAATCCATTGACTAAAATAACTCTAATTACGATTTAATTGAACAGGGTATTCCACAACAAGCGACCAGCGTTAACACCGGGAATCGGTTTGAGCGGCCGGGGCAACAATGCAGCGGTCGTTGGTGGCAATGGCACGAGCCTCAGTGTGGTTGACGGCGAATGCGGTGATGCTCTCAAACGACGCAAAGTTCACAGGTGCGACGTCGCCGGCTGCGATAAAGTCTACACCAAGAGCTCGCATCTCAAGGCTCACAAGAGGACTCACACCGGTAAGTAAATCGATAAGAAACCTGACTGTGTCTCGGAATAACTACGAGGAAAGTTGAAGCTTACATTTATTATGATATAAAAAAGAAGTAAAAAGGAATGAAAACAGTAATACTAAAAGAAAAAAAGTAGGTGTTTGTAATAATTGATCCTCTATGCTTAGATACAAGGATTTTGTTTCTATTCAAATCTAGAACAGTTGACTAAAATGATCATTTCTGCAAGCGAAATGTAAGATTATTCATGTTAATTTAATCGTATCCATCGGTACTCATTTCGTAATTCTCAAATGAATAATTATTCGAAAATTATTCGCCAGTCCCAGAGAAATTCGCTCGCAAGATTAAAAAGCGCGATTGTCAAGTGCATTGAGAGTAAGTAATGAGACGCCCCATTCTAACGACTCCACGCACGCACATCGTTTATACTCGATTTTTGTCCCTCCACCAAGACGTGAAAATATTTCTCCTGAACAGCCGCGTGATTCGCTTGGCGCAATAATTCGCTCGCGCACTCGTACTTTACGGCGTGCACGCAGAAGTGCCCTGTTATCGCGTTGATATGAAGAAATTGCGAAGGTTTCAGCCGAAGTATTGCGGAAGGTGACGTATCTTTTCTCATTTCGCTTGACAAATTGAGCGTCAGTGCGTTGGTTTGCACGTGTCTCTCTTGTGTCGCGAACAAAAAATAAATAAAATGCGAGGCGAATCGGTTGCGCAACGAATTAGTGTCGATGCTTTGCGAGCGCGATAACAAAACTCGTCGATTCCATTTGAAAAAGAACCGACTATTTATAAATTCATGATTCGCCGACGACTCGCATTGTCGCAATTAACTCGCGCTTCGCTGTACATCCACCCAAATCGAGAGAAACATTACTACGGCCGCGCGTACGTTTTTCTTTTCTCACCCCTCGAACAATGCAATTGACTTTTTTTTTTGCCACATCACGGCCCTCACCTCAATCGCCTGAGAACCGCAACGACGAAAAATGGTATTTTTCTGCGTGCGCCGGACAAATTAGACTTTGACTGACTTACCTTTTACGAAAGCTATTATTCTATCGCACGCTCGTTGCATTTCTTGTCTTGTTGTGGTTACTTTTAGTGTCGGCTGGAGAGATTTATATGGCTTTGGGGGAATTACGTTGAGTGAAGAGTGAAATTAATATTTTACTGTGCACTAAAAGAGGGAATTTAAATTGTTTTTTCTCGAACGTGTAAGGTATTACATTTCTATTTACTGAAAAATTTTGCAATCATTATCTGTATATTGAATCTTCTAGCAAGTATCTTCGTTTGCAGCACTGAAATCGGTAGCGACAGCACGTATAGATGACCAATAAGTGGACGTCGTCTTTTACCACTGTCCCACAGAACCTGCATTCGTGTTTTACATTCACGAAATCTTAGAAATATCAATGCAATCTTATTTTAGGATAGTAATCGTTTGTGAGTATTCAGTTTTACAAAAGTAAATATTAACTTTTTCGAGTATCCTGAAAAAAATTTATAGTCCATATTTTGCCACATAGCGTATACTTTATTCTGTATTGCAGGGAACACGTATAAAGATAGACGTCCACTTTTACTAGTGTCTTAAGAAAAATCGCATTCGTGTTCTATATTTTTCACAAGTAACGATTGTGCAGGTAAAAAAAATTTGTCCTTTTTGGATGAATTCATCCAAATCCACCATTTTTATATAAAAAAAATAAGGACGTGTAACCAATTAATCTCGCTTCGACTATTTTTCATTGCTAACAAATGAATACTTTAATTGCGCAATCGTCGATTTCCGGTCTCACACGTCGGAACCGAACAATCGCGTGTCCTACGATCGAGTGCGAAAAATCGTACGAACGCGCGGGTGTGGACAACTGACTCTCGGCCGATTTGGCGAGTTGCGTCGACGTAATAACAGGGCGTCGCCGCTACGATCAAACTAGTTTTTTTTCTTCTCGATCCGGTCACGCAATCCAGAGGATTTCTATCTCTCTCTCTCTCTCTCTCTCTCTCTCTCTCTCTCTCTCTCTCTCTCTCTCTCTCTCTCTCTCTCTCTCTCTCTCTCTCTCTCTCTCTCTTGTGTATTTATACCGATCGCAATTAAACCACTCGCTTTTGTATCGCAATCTTTACATTACTGCTTCAATTTGTATAATTTGTAAAACGAGACGATTTTATATTCGGCAGGAAAACAATGTGAGTCTTTTGCACTTAGTGGTGTGATTTATTTTTACGATGTATTGTAGGAAATGAAAGTGATTGCTTGGATAATTTTCTTTTCTTTTATAGCAGGTCTCGTTGATGAGACTATCAATTTGTTCTGTGTCACGAATAAAACACGGAATCCATCGATTTTTCAAGACTCAAAAAGAAATCAAATGTTTCAACAACGACTTTCATGTAAAATTCATAAATGATTTAGTTATCTTACTAATACGTAAATTAAAGTTCTGATCGGTATTTTGCTGTATCAAATATAATTATTTTTCCTTAAACATCCATTAGATATTGAATTATTTCTTGACTATCTTAGGATTGTAATTTTTCATAAATATTCTTATTGAAAGTTACTAAACTATCGCTTGAAAAAATGTATAAGCAAACATTTAAAAAATCACTGTAGCCTTAAAATTTATAACTCCAAAGCTAGCCGCTGTAGACGGCTACTACTCCTCATGCTCCCATAATAATGACGCAAAATATACTCTATATATATTTTGTAACATTCTTACTTTAGTTCAATACATTCTGTATTCACGTTCACGTAGAATATCCCTGACATTGAGATTCATAAAAAACCAATTTGCGCCACACAGAAATCACATTAAGGTGAGATATAAATTAAGCTAAAAATAAAATCAAAGTGCTATAGGCAATTGAAAAAAATATTCGATAATCCCCAGTAATAAGTTTAAATGCAAATCGGAATTACAGGCATCGTCTAAACCATTCGAGCCTTTGACATATAACTCCGCAAACAAAATCTGCATTACCGTCATTCACATCGACGCGTCCCAATCTTTACATAATTTAAAGATTAGCCTGTGATATCCTCGAAGCTCAAGTCGGTCACTTTACAATGCGTCTCCGCGCGTAGGAACGCTGTAAGTCCGCCACGGCTCGCCGGATGAATTTGCGCACTCGCGGAATTTATGGTCTCTCGACGGTGTTGCGCGCGCGACCTCCGCCGGGAATGCGCGTCTTCGCCAACTCTCTCTTTCTCTCTGCGCGAGATGTTTATCGCGAGATAGGGTAATGGAAAAATGCTTTTTCTCTGTGTCACGGGCCACTACCTCACGGTGTTTAATTGATGCGTGGGAAAACTGGATTTTTCAATCGCGCCGCAGCGACCTGTCCGCGTTCGGAAAATCGCCGGCCTTGCAACGGATATTCAGTAAGCATTTTGGCCTTTGTAACAATCGATATAGTTTGCAAGTGTAACGGGACATCCGCCGAACCACGGCTTTGATCATGGGCTAATATGGGAGATTGTCGACTCGCAGAAGTTGGCGATGCACCTTTCCACAGACCAAAAGAAAGAAAAACATATAGCGAAGGGATTACTACGGATGGCCGTGTAATCGCTCAAGGTCGCGTCGATCCCAGGGCGTGCCGTTCAGGGATTTATATCGCGCCGAACCCCTCGATCAACTGGTACGTACACTCGAGAGCACGTATCTCGTGTGGGAGGCTGCGTTGCGCGCAACAGGTCAATGAGTTTTGAACCCTGTATTGATTTTTTCAAGAAATCAGCAATTAGGCGCCATTGACATTTGCAATGCGTTCGGGCAAACGAATGCGCTTGCAAGGGACAACGAATCCAAAAATCGAGCATCAGGCTTATCTCGCGTTCGTCGAAAATCATTCCAAGGAATGATCCGGAAAGGATTAAACGAATATTATTGTGTCTTTATTGTGGCGCTTTACTAGCTTAGCTTCTGAAGCGTTGGTAAACCAATTAACGACAATTGCCGTTCACAAGCAGAGTCAGTAGGCGAGCAAACGGCTCCACGTCAATTATCAAACTTATCTCTTCTTCAGAAACAATCACTGCTATTTACCTTTTCTCTCTGGCGCGCCAAAAACCAACCGGCGCAACGCGAAGCGCGGATGCTAACGAGTTTGAAATGATACTCTTATAGGCCCGTAGAGCAGAGGACCACCATCATCGCCGCCACACGGCGGTAGATGTAAAACTTTTAACGTTTGTACTCGCATATATACATATATATCGAAGGGAACGCGCGGAGAGGAGCTTTTTAGTACTCTCGCCTTTTTAAGCGACGTTTTATGCACTTCGCTCGCTTCTTCCTCTTTTCCTTGCTTTGCTATATACTCGCGCTCGAGTAACGCCCTGAAACGTATAGAGCGACGTCGGTTACCGATCGTAAATCCTTGATTGAAGGGCTCGGCGCAACAGCGAATTTTTGCTTTTGTTTGGCGGCGGCGGCGGCGGCGACGGCGGCAGCGGCGGCCTCTCTTTTACCCCGTATCGACGGGAAAACCGATGGACAGATAATTTTTAATTGTCTACAGTAAAGAAACGCTATTGTTGGTATTGTTTTGCGAATTAAAGGTTTTGCATTTGTCTTCGTTTAATCTTTTAATATTTCTCGTTATATCATTTTTACGGTTCACAATGAAATTACAGAGAGAACCTATATTGAATAAAATGACATTTTCTGCTAATGACTAAAATCAAGTAATCGAGACCAAAAAATTGCTCTATAGGCAGCAGAAAATAATTGTTGAATCTTTCAGATGATACTCTGGAATTGTTTTCAGATACACTTTCTATAAATAACTACTCTTTAAAAAATCCATCATCTCTAAGTAAAATATTTTTTTCTCTACGCAACAATCGACTTTATTTTACGCCCTTCCTGAGAAAAATCCCAAGAAAAGTAAGAAGAAGGAGAGTCTGAACAGTTGCCAACCAATATTTTACGTTGAATCGCTGCCGCTCCATAGCAGATAAATGGCCTTGCGCACAGTGTGATACCACTGCAGACATTATTATATGGAAAAAAAACTGGAGCAGTGCTTTATTGATGACCTTGTAATGAGACCTACTGATTAATTGACTCCGTTACGAATTGCAGGAGGCAGCAGGATTCTTCAAAATCACGCGTTGAAACCAAAGGTGCCTGGATCTGGGAAAATAATTAGAACTTATGTAATGACGTTTTTTTTTATGATAAATGCACAAGAAAATTGTTTATGCGTTGAGTCTTCATGATGCTACTTGACTTACTGACATAAACATCTTCACATTGACTATCCTTGAGAAGCAGTATTCCAGTATGCATTTCCTGCTAATGGTGACACCGAGAAAAAAAGGAAACCGAACAATCAAACAACGCCGTGACACTCTCTTGACAATCTCTGCAGTTTGACGGTGCGCGTACATAACTGGAATTAAAAAGGAGGAAGGGAGAGAGAGAAATTGCAGAGCTATTAAACTGAGCGTAGATATTAACAGGGTGACTTGTTGAAATGCGCAAACGGAAAAACAAATAACCGGCGATCCGTGAGTACATTTAAAGCGCTTGGCGACACTGCAATCGCGGCCCAGTCGTCGCTTGGACTCCGATCCGATCAACGTGCATATTATTTTCATCGTCACTTTTAACGCCGACACGGGCGGGGTATATAGATTGAGCATGTCACTCAAATATTCCTGCCTGTTTCTTCTGGCGATCATATCATCCACGGCGCTACTGGTCGAAGCAGGTTTGAAACGGACCCTTTTTTTCATTCCTTCGTCACCTTAGAGCTTCGGCCCTCGTCAGTGTCATTCGCACGATAATTCATTCGGAACGATAATGCTGGGGCAACATTAACGTCTAATGCATTTATAACGCTTCGTGTCAACTTCGGATCAACTGGATAACTGTTGATAAGCGCGTCACTCCTGTAATTACGGTGTGGTCTACGGATGAGGGAAAATCAGGGAAACGACTTTTTTTAATGCAAATGATGATACCGATAGGTGGTATTTAACTCACTGAGAATTAAGATTCCATTACTTCGAAAGCTATCCTTCGCGAAACGTTAGGTAATACATCGTTCATCTGCCAGCTTTTCTTATTTCGTTATTTTCATACTTATGTGGTGACACCAATCTGTCTTTTGATATCTTTTATGTTTGATCTTTTGACATTTTGAATAGTAGTAGCAACGATTTCGCGAAATCTCGTGATAACTACCTAAAGAAAGTTTTAATGACATTCAAAGAAACGCAACGCTAGTTATTGAAGTAGCTTCATACTGGAAAAACCACCACTTCGAATGTCAATTACTCATTCAGACCTAACACAACTGTTCACTCGCTTTCGTTAGCTGCAATAAAAAAACGAAGGCTTGATAGCTGAACAAAACTTTTCCAGAGAGAAGATGCAAATTCGGCACGGCCTATTTCACTGGCTGCACTTTATGCGCTTGTGTGAAACGCGTGCCGGGTGGGGATGATCATGACACCAAGATTCATTGCCCAGATCATGACTGCCCATCGGGACACGTCGACCATGAGCCACCTGAATCTTTCTGGATTCAGTAGACGATTCTGCGATTTGAAATAATGATATATTACGTATCCCGAGGTATCAAACGCACACACACAATCACCTACTTTGTAATTATTAAATTATTAAGCCGACAGAAATAAATGCGCGCGTCGATATTGTGCTGTTTTCTTTTGTCTCCTCATGCCTAAGGATTACTTAATCTTTGAATAATCCATGTTCAATTATTAACATATTTAAGAATGTAACGCATTGAATTGTCCCTATTTTCTTTTTTTAAATTATCGGATCATCAATTATCATATCAGTCCGAAAATAACGTGTTCTAATTTTCATCTTAATTTAATTATCATGTAATTAACGAGTGTGAAAGTCCTGACTTTCTTGATAAGTCGAAAGCGGGCACACTTGATCGACTAGGGAAAGGAGGAGGAGCATATAACTGTGCAATCAACGAAAATCAGCCGGAGATCGATTCCCATCGATCGGGTGATCGGCGCGCACGCGCGTCCCTGCCCCTTTTTCCGTCAATCGTCGCATTGTCTCGGGATCGATACATCCCTGAGATAAGCTTGATCGAGAGCCGCCGGAGACCTGCTTCTCTTTCTTTCTTATTTTACGTGCTTCCTTTTATCCCAATTCCCTTCCCTCCTTGCGCCGCAAGAGAAAATACTGGATTACCGGCAGTTTTAATGCTTTCGATCGATAAGCCGACGAAAAATACACGCGGACATCGCGAAGATATTCGAGTTGTAGGTACAAATGCCGACAAGCAATCATAGAGCGGCGGTCGCGCGCTGCAAAACGCTTCTCACGCGATCGAACGATGACGACGCCGATTGCTTTGCGCGCCTAGCTCGGACATACGTCGCACGGGAGTGAGACGAAGACGAACTGCTCTCCTATCGCTTTCTCGCGAGGAGACTCGCTCATTACCGCCGCAACACTTTCGGTCTATATGTATAAATGTGTCTTTTTATCAGACACGAGTAAGCCGTGTCACCCTTGCTCTGTGTCCTTGTGTCTTTTTAAATTACGAGTCGTTCCAAAATAGTTATAAACTTTTAGAGACTCACATTTTCTCGAAATTCCCATCGCGTACCTGAGATACGCGGAAAAAAAACATATACCACTGTATTTGTTACAATTACATCCTACCTATTCATCTTTTCTACTGAAAAAAAGACTAGTAATTTTGTATTCCTCAAACCCTCCATTCTCATAGTCGACCCCGTATGCACAATGGAGAAGCCAAAACAATTTCCCTGAGAAAAGTCTCGATAGAAATATAGATCGATCGTCGGTGCAGTGGGGAACGTATACTGCTGCTGCTGCTTGAAAGAGAGAGACAGAGAGAGAGAGAGAGAGAATCCTGCCAGTAAAGACAGCTGTCCATCGTAACCGATAAGAGTCCATCACTCTATGTGGTGGTGGTGGTTGGTTTTTCGACTAACGAACGGTGGCTGGCAATAATTGGGTGTGAAGCGCTCGTCGTCGTCGTCGCCCTACAGGCCGTCGATTATATCAAAGGGCCTTACTTTTATCGACCCTGACGGAGATCTTTCCTTGCTCGCTTCACACATCCGTCTTTTCCCATCCTTGTTTGTCGAGCTCTCTTTCGCTCTCTCTCTCTCTCTCTCTCTCTCTCTCTCTCGCTCTCTCTCGCTCTCTCTCGCTCTCTCTCGCTCTCTCTCTCTCTCTCTCTCTCTCTCGCTCTCTCGCTCTCTCTCTCTCTCTCTCTCTCTCTCGCTCTCTCGCTCTCTCTCTCTCTCTCTCTCTCTCTCGCTCTCTCGCTCTCTCTCTCTCTCTCTCTCTCTGTTTCTTCGATTGCTTTTGCAGCCGGATATACTTACCTAGTATGTGTTAGGTAAAGCTTCGAACTTTTTGTTTCTATTGAATTTAACGATTTCATTTTCATTCGCGTTCAATTGACTTAATTATTTTTATCATGATCGAAAATTCTATGATTTAAGGTTTAAGTCAACGCGGGAAGAAAAGATCATTGGGTCGCTCCACGTGCAGGCTTTGTTTTAAAACAATTGAATATAAAGACGATTAACATATAAAATAGAATTTGGAGATGAGATAATAATATATTTTATACACACACACATATATAATGTATATATGTGGGCACGCGTGTATATATATATATATATATATATATATATATATATATATATATATATATATATATATATATATATATATATATATATAGGCTTACAAGTTTAGATCGATATTTCTGCATATTTCCGTTTAATTAAACACTATTTGTTTGAAAAAGTTTAAACAGGCGTATCGTCATTTTTGAATGACACTTGCGCATTATCTCAATATTTTTAAGAACATTGAAAATTTCAAAAGATTAAAGAAATAATAATGTTATCTTAATATTATACTACAAAGAATTCAAAGCAGTCAGATTATCTTGAGGACGTTCTCGTAAAAATCATTTTTATAAATATCTCTCAATCTTTAAAAATAAGTTCTTTTTGTCGTTACCCACATAGCCAAAAAAATATTTAGTATAGTTAACGATATGTAAAAACGAGATATTCATCATCAAATTGTACGTTTTTAATATGCGTCCGATAGGCTAAAATTATTTTGGCACTACAGTTCATTTGATTGTAAATGAAATTTTCTTTGAAAGGCCACTTTCGCGAATGACACTTGTGCATTATCTTATTATTAGCAACATTGGAAATTTGAAAAGAAATAATAACGTTATCTTAATATTACTACAAAGAACGAAAGGTACAGTCAGGTTATCTTAATTAACATATATCGAACATTTGATGAAAATCCAAATATGACCAGTAATATTTAAGCCAATGATGATAATATTTGTAAAATTGCAGCAATAAGAAGAAGAAATTGCATATTTGTTTACAGGCGAGAAGCCGTACCAGTGCACATGGGAAGGTTGCACGTGGAAATTCGCGCGTTCAGACGAATTGACGCGGCACTACCGCAAGCACACCGGTCAAAAGCCATTCAAGTGCCACCTGTGCCAGCGCTCGTTCTCGCGTAGCGATCATCTCTCACTTCACATGAAGAGGCACTGAACGTGAAAAAAGCACGCATACACACAGACACCACACCCCTACACATACATACAAACCACACGTATTCAATTATAATCAAGCACATTCGGGACCTGATTGATCATCACCCGGATTGAACGAGAGCCGGGTGTTGCCGCTGCTGATGTTGTAAATTATCATATGAAGAAGAGATACGAGCTTTTTATTTTTCTTCTTAGTTCAATATTCGAGGGAACAATTTTCTCTTTTTTTCTTTTTTGTGATGCCACGCGTTGACTCGCTGACCTGTGATTAGAGATACACTTTCGGCCTAACCATGTACACGCGCGCGAATGCTTTTATATAATGTATGTTCAAACGGGCAAAAATAAGCACAAAAAAAAACATTAAAAAATCAATCGAGGTGTCACGAATTTTTAATCGTTCTTTAGAAAATTATGATTGTGCTGCGGGTTCAGCTCTAGATTGAAGGGAAAATGGGGATTATACGTTGAACAATACGAAGGGGAGAGAATTATTGTGGAATATTATTTTATATAATTTACAGCATTAATTATTCTGTTTTCTTTTTTCTTAGCCAATTTAGGAAAAAAAATTTCAATTTTCCTAATGTAAAACGCGCGAGGGCCAGCTCAACTAGTCTAGAGAGCAAGAATATATAAAAAAAATGACAAAACATACAAAAAAATAACTGGAGATACATCTTTATTATTATTATTTGCAAGAGGCAAAAGAAAAAAAACATGAAACGTACGATATGCACAGACGATAATGCGCGATGCAATGAACTTAGAGCCAGTAAGCGTCTAGGAGTTTTTAAACGATAAGCTGTCTATTAGTGAAAATATTGTGGGATGATAAAAAAATATATCAATATAAATAAAGATATATATATATATATATATAAATATATATATATATATAAAGAATAGATCACCTTGATACGCAACACACGTAAGGTTTAATAGTTGTTTAATGCAAATTTACATAGGTAACTCCGGTGACGGAGCTTGGGACTTAGCATGCTCAGTTAAACAGTAGTGGAAAAATGAATTTTTATTCTTTATTTTTTTTTCTCTTCGCCAGTGTATCTCGATTTATCGCGCATTCGCAAGCGTTATTATCTGTATTATTATTTTTCCTTTTGCGTGAAAATCGACGATTGGACGAAGCGATTAAAAAATGTCGCGACTAAGATGTATATTTCTCGTGCTTATAAATATCAACGAAGAATTTCGCGTTTAGAGACGGACAATCAATCGTCAACTCGATTATGCGAATAAATATAATACAATATGTACATGGAAAGCTTTGCTGAATCGTTTTACCTTTACGTTGAAGAATCTCTCTTCGAGAGATACACATTTTTGTTTTCTTATGAACAGCAAAGTTTTTCACAGCGGTAAGAAAATGAAAAATTTATCGATGTAAATATTGAGATAATTTTACGATTTAAAAAAGCCAGTATTAGCTACGTGCATCGTGCTATGGATCCTTTCACTTTTGTGTCATCACTTTTCTTTTATTTCAGTGCGTGCGAAAAAAGTCGAATATTTTTCTGTATACCCGCTAAATTGCGTAAGTAAAATTTTCAATAATGCTGATGGTGCTAGTTTGTTTTAAAAAATATAGATAGGTAAATAAATCATTGGATATAACTCATATCTATTGCAAGGCTACTCTAAGAATTGTAATTTCAATAAAAAAGAAAATTATATACATTTAGGCCTATACCTAGTTAAATTAATGAAGTAGATGGTCGGGCAGTATTTCGAAATTGAGAGCGTGTATATTTTTATACAAAAATTTTTTACGTCATGGCCTCTAAATCTATAATGGAAATATAGAATTATTACGTTATGGTTAAGAACATTGCAATTGAACGTTATGAAAAAAATTATGGCATCATCTAAGTTTGATTATTTTATTTTAACGTATTTTAAATTCAATTAACACTTCTTTGTGTCTGTCAGTTCTTGAATTTCTTGGAGTAGATAGGATGAATCATAACTGCGCCAGTATATTTTCGAACCAATTATGTTACTAAAAATGTAAAAAACATGCAATCACAAAGTTTGTAAACGTGGTTTACAGCATAGATATTTGTAGTGCCTTCACTCAAATAACAAGAGTGAATATTTTCGCAGAATTAGGCCTTAAGTTATAAATAGTGCCTTTTGGACATTTTGCATGTACATATTATTAAAATGTTTGGCCGAAACAAAAAAAACGTTGCGCAATTCGATGTCAACGAGAAATTAAAATATTAAAATTTTTAAGCAGTGACGATGCGATAAATGATTACGGAACAAAATCGGAAATATTTGAGTAAAAAAGATGACTCGACCTTAAATTTATACATTCGGATTTTGAAATACCTTGTAAATAGTTAACAAATGCGTAAGTTACAAACATTTCTCTGCTATCAGTTTATAAAAAAATTACCTTTGCTGTGATGTATGCTATATAAAATATTAGAAACATATGTAATGAATGATTAAACATAACATTATGCACAATTAATGATACTAAATCAATATAAATACAATTTCATATATAATATGTAAAATTTCAAAGTATTAAATCTACTATAGCTATAGACATTTTTTCGATCAATACTCAAAGGAAATACATTTTTTATTTGCTCACTATTTAATTGAAAATATTTCCCGTTGAGATAATTTGTTCTTGGAATGTAGCCATACAAGATAAATTTACCATTTTAAAACTACCTAATACTGTGAAAAAGGAATATGAAGGGTAAAAATTTTTAAATAAACTTTTGAACTTCATTAAAACATAAAACTAAAATATTTTTTAGTTTCGCATGTGTATAATTACTTTGTGAAATTATTCTATAAAATATCTGTCAATAAATGATATACAAAAAAATAATGCATCTCAGTGCCTTAAATATGTGAAGATAAAGCGATGAAATTCTTGAACACTAAGCTATTTGAAAAAAAAAGTAATGCTAACATTATCAAGTATGTAGCAAAGATGGTTGAGTAAACTATATAATAAACCGCCTATAATTTTGTAAACAGCTTTAATTTGCCATACGTCTTGTAAAAAAATATTTCATTTTATTTGCACGGTGCTTATTAATTGATGGTGCTTGAAAAATAATAGGAAAAAATAGCAAAAATCTTTTACATTTCTCAAAATAGTAAACATCACAATAACACGCACATATATATCTGCATCAATATTTACATATTTATCTTGTAATAAATTAAACAAACTATCTTTAAAGGCATGTCATAAACATTGTAAACTGAATAAAAAGTTGTGTGCCAAAGTTTAACACGCATAAGCATACAATTTACTTGGCAGAAAAAAAAGAATTGTAATCGTGTCAACGTATAAATAGTTTATCACATTTTTCAAAAAATTGCAAATTATAACATCTTAAGGGAAAAGATTCGTAATAATTTTTCAATACATTACAGGAAAATAGGAATTTTTAATGGTAAGAAAACTATTATACACATCGAGCCAAACTTAGCAATTCTCACAATATGCAGTTAGAAAATTGTTTCTAATGATTACGATAAAATCGAAAAGCAATAAAGAGCACGCGCCGATATATATATAATGATTAAGCGATCGATCACGTACGTGTAAGATTTTTTTAGGTAGCGAAAGGAAATATGCGTGATACCAACAATGTATCAACAAATGCAAAAAGAGATCGAAAACTAGTTTTATTCTCTCTATAAAAAGGAAACTTTTAGTGTATTGCCAACGCAACAATGTATATATAATTTTCATAAATATAAATATAACCAATGGGGGCCAGTAATTCTCTCGGATCTCTCTTTTATGGATTTATGATTTTTAAAGTACATGAACAGTTTAACAAAGTATTGATCACATAATAAGTTTTTTGTAAAAAATCAGTTTCAATTTCAATATTCTTGACAAATTTGATTTAAATAAAGAAAAACGTTGAGTGTTGTTTATTTATTCTCAAAAAATGGTCAACGCGCTTTGCGTGAAACTTTCATGCTACGTCAACTATTTAATTTAAGAAAGAATGTATTATAAATTTATATATATCCCGAGCATAATAACGTAAATCATTCAAATTCTATCATAAACTTATTGTATAAACAGAAAAGGCATTAAATGCAATACATTTATTTTTTAGCTGTTAGAGACAACTTCACGATTCAATATTTCTTCATTATTTATATTTTTTCTACATTTTGTTGTTCTTTACCACTCTTTTTCATACGTCTGCATATGAGCGGTTTACAAACGCACGAATGGGGTTTAACTTTGCTACAGCGTTTGAGAAGAAAACGCACACTTGTGTAATAACAATGAAATTCCGCAATCTATATACTTTTGAATTCGATATATTTATTTATCGGTTGTTGGCTTTGCGATTAGAGCAGAGTAATGTATAGTAACGATTTGATAAAAGAATAAAACAAATATGTTTATATATTTAATATATAAATATAATATATAAATAGATATATACAATGTCAATAACGCCGACATGAGGAACAATTTGCAGGGTGAATATTTAATACACTGTCTTGAAGGAGAAAAACAATTGTGTAGAAAAATAAAGCCCTTCAAAGAGAGGATTATATATTCCTACAGTTTTTTCCTCTAGAGAATGAAGGATTTAATATATATACGTATGTTGTACAATAGTTGATATTTTTTAGTATATAATTATATCGGGCATCTAGAAAGATATTGTATCGACACATTCGTAAAGAGTGAACGACTTCATTTTTATTGCGAAGAATGATATGATGGTTAAATATTTAGATAATAATACGATTATCATTATCCTTACTGCTATCATTGGTACTATTATGTTTATTATTAATATTATTAATGTATTTGGCAGGGTTATGACAATTAAAATTCATATAAAAAATCAAATTATGTTCTTTATTTCTCTTACCCATTACCTATTCAAAAATTATTATGTAATCATGTTGTACTCTAGTAAAAATTACTTATTATAATATCTTATTACAAAAAACTGTTTAAATCAGGAAATGCAAAGTAATTAGCACAGTTTTGATATAATTTATGAGAGACAAACATTGAAGTATATATAGACTTGATTACACTATCTTCGTAGCAATAAACTTAAATTTTTTGCTAATGTTTAATGAATGACAAAGGAAAATCTTGTAGAAATGTTCTATAAATTAAATGATTGCCTTCTTTGTGCTCAGTATCCATCGAATAATTTTGCAATAGAGATACAGTATATTTTCCCAGCTATGGCTGGACTTCGAACTTTTTTCTTGATATTTTTGGTACTGATGTTTGCATATACGACATTGACCGAAAAAGGTTGGTTTCTAATATAGCTGTTTTTTTTTGTTCTTTTTTTTGTGTATAGTTCATTGTTAATAATTGTAATAAATGCAATTTATGGGTAAACGCTTTTCTCGTGTAAAGATATTTTTTTACTTATTTCTATTGATTTAACCGAGATCGTTTTAGGCACGTTTTGTTTTTTATACACTCATCCATAATTTATAGCACATTGAACTATGCTATATAGTTGTCATACGTTAGATCATAACGTTTTCAAAGTATATAAATTCCTATTTGTTTTTCCTCCAAATACATGAAAGTAAATTTATACTGTAATTTAAAATATTTTTCTGTTCAGCTTTATAATGAAAATCAGAAATTAACACGATTTGCTTTACTATAATAGAGTAAAAATTTATAAATGATTGCATTTTAGAACAGGAGCCAAAACAATGTAAAGTTGGACGGTCTTACTTCGACGGCTGTAATAAGTGTATGTGTTCTGATGGAGTAGACATAATGTGTACAATGATGGATTGTTTAGATACTAAAACGGTTCCACCGCCAGCGGATTTCTATATATGAAATCATCTCAAGAATACCACGAATTTATAATAGTTGTTATATTTATATTCAATAAATAAAAGAAATTATTTAAAAAACGTCTCGTGTGACTATCACATAAATCTATGTAATAATTATAATGTAAAATAAATATAGTTACTCTTGTAAGACCAAATTAATAAGCTAAGCCACATACACACGCACGCGCGCGCACATACATACACATCTTGCTACATGTTCAATAAATCTGCTTGGCCATTTTTTTTATATGATTTCAACATGTGTATACGAAGATTGCCCGAAATGATTCTAACTTAATAAAGAAATAAGATATTTTTTTCTTTAAAAATTTTTATGTTTAAGTCGGTATACTTATTCCAGCAATGCTTTAACTTCTTTAACCGAACCCTTCTAAATAATAGCTAGCGTCTTTCTTCAAAATAAACATTTATGTATATGATAGTCTCTTCCTCCGATAAAAATTTCTCTCTTACAAGTGAAACTTTATAGTTAGAAAATAGGAAAAAGCCGCCGGGAGCCATATCAGGTAAATAAGTTAGGTTATAATTCCATTCCAAGAGTAATTCACGAATGTTAAACATCGTGATCACCATTATTTTCCCATCAGTAGTATAGTAGTGGATCCAGCTTTTATCTACAATTTTAAATCAATACGATAAATATGACTCGTTTTGCTTAAACCCTGTCGATAAGTCTTTGGAAATGTTCATTCGAATGTACTTTGGTCCAAAGTGAGCAACTGCATCCCAACGCGCGGATGATTTACGCATGTCCAATTCTTCAGTCAACATATGGCAAATGCATTCTTTTGATATTCCAAGAGCATCTTCTATGGCTCTCACCTTATTTCAACGGTTGTTCAGTATCATTTGGTAATGTTATCACTAGCTATCGCAGTTTTTGGCCGCCACGAATACTCGTCATCAGCCAAACTAATATGGCCACGTTTGAATTCAGCTGCCCAAAATTACATGATCGTAAATAATAGGGCACAGACTCAGTATACAGTGTCTAACTCTTCTTTGATAGGCGTATTGCTTTTCAAAAACAAATAGTTCATAACAACTTGATACTCAAGTTTTTCATTTTTAAATTAATCTTCAAGACTCACTTTATGTTATGGCTTTAATTTTAGTGAGAATCTTCCAAAGCATGGACAAATATGCTCCAACTTACGTAGATAAGTGCTGCCAACTTCAAATTGTGTCCTGAAACTTTTCAGACAGCCCTCGTATAAAAATTTCATGGTAAAATTTAACAATATTTATAACATACAATTAATATTACTGTATTAAATATGAGACAGAACTGAGTGACTTTTACGACACATTATATTTACAAAGAGTGAAAAAAACAGAAACGTGACATCGGACTATAATGAGAGCGGAAACCAAAAGAAAATAGATCTATCTAAACAAAAATGTGCTTAATGATTTTTTAAAGGCCTATATAATTTTTAACAATACTGATATCATAATTAAACCACCAAATTCATTGAATATTGAAATATCATATAACAAAATGTTCTTGCGAATTAATTAATTTGGATGATTATTTTATGTACTTAGTTTTGTTTGAATACGATTTACATATAATCAGATATATTCACAGTGGTACAATACTTGTTCATATCAATCCCATTTTTTTTTTTCGCATGGCTAATTTTCGTTGACTTTACTAATAAATGAGTCGAAAACCGATTTGATGATGAGCACGTATAAAATGAAAGACCACGTCGATTCACGTCAGTCAGCATCGAGTTTTGCCAATACAACTCTCAAAATTTTTTACCATGGGATTTAAACCTTCTTTTCTGCTATTCTTAGCTTTAGCGGTTGCGTGCACATCATACGCTTCAGGTTACTATTTATTTTTACTTACATAGAACAAATATTGGGTCGTAATATAATCTTGAATAACTTATAACTTTTTCGGAAAATTTCCGACTGTATAGCAGAACACATTTTATTTTAAATATGCAATTAACTTAAGAACTTTTTCTTTTTCTTTCCGTATCACTTATAATTACGACATTCTTTACTTCATACAAATAAAAAAAGATCTATTCATTTTCATATTATTTATACAGCTTCTTAGTTCAAAAATCATCTTAAATTTGATGAACACCTATTTTTAAAACAAATCCCCTTAATTTAAGTAGTTTTATCTGTACTGTATAGCTGGTAGTATTTCCTGCCATAAATAGTTAGATTCAATACTTGTAAAAAACCCAAAGAAACTAGATAATTAAGTAGATTTATAAATACGTGGAAAATATTTCCTTATTATAATAGGAAACCAAGAGGAAACGAAGAACTGTGTACCAGGAAAGTCATGGTTCGACGGATGTAATACTTGCCACTGTAATAAAAATGACAACGGTCCGAATGGAATATCTTGCACTAGAATGTTCTGCCCATGGATAACTAATTTGGTGGAACCGCCTCCAGAATTTTATGTATCATAATATTAGTAAAATAAGAGGTATACATATTGTCTTATAAATTGAATATCCTCCTATGTAAACATACACATGTGTGAACGATCCTTTGCTCCACTGTTATCTGTCGGCGGAGCGAATAGAGATTGGAAAAATTACTACCAATACAATTTGATAAATATTAATCGAGAACTACTCTATACAGTGTTTTATCGTAAACATATTTTTAAATTGAACAATAAATCTAGCTGTCATTGATGTAATCAAAATAAAGTGCTATCACATGTGCTTTGCAAATAACTATAATTATATTATTATACCAATTTCTATTTTATAATAAATCAAACTAAGATAACGATATTAAATCGAGGTTAGATCGACTGGGCCAGTTGACTCGTCACTTGCATAATTGATCATGCTACCTCACAACTTTTGCATGAATTAAATACACATTTAACAAAAAGATCAAAATAAGTATATAAATATTATTCATATTTAAATAAAAAAACTTTAATATTCTAGTTTTGTTCCCATAAATAGATCCGTTTAGGAACGAATATATATGCAATAGTAATATGTCAACTACTAATTTATTGATTGTAGATTATTGGTCACTTTAATAAATTATAATTGTTACTATGTTTACTTTTGTATTAAACAGCTGCTGTGCTAATAATGTCTTATATACACTAATAAGGGGACCTTCCCAACCCTCTGCCTCCGATTTTACTGCAATTTGGATATGTTATAGCTTATTGAAAAATAAACAAACACGTGTTTTTTTTATCAGCGGAAAAAGTTTTCTAAGAGGTGAAAGACACCCTCAAAAATCACCTTTCAGAGCAGTTTTCTATCAATATTTTTCAATGAAATAAAATGGAAGTTAGTTGTTTTTCTCTAAAAAAATTTATTCCATTTTGTTTCATTGAAAAATATTATTTGAAACCAAAAATATTGATAGAAAATTGCTCTGAGGGGTGATTTTCGAGGGTGGCTTTCATCTCTTAAAACGCTTTTTCCCCCGATAAAAAAAAAAAAAAACGTATCTTTTATTTTTCAATAAGCTATAAGGTATACAAATTGCAGCAAAATTAGAGGCGGAGGGATGCGAAGGTTCCCTTTTAAATCCAAAACATGCACATATACACATACATACTACCATATGATGGCAACCATCTTGACTACCTTTCACCCAATCAGATCACGAATAAAATGACTTCATCTGGTAGGCCATCACTTTTTTATATCACTTTTTTATATCACTTTTTTATTTCACTTTTTTATATAGGAATAAAATAATAAATAATAATTGCAACAGTAGTTTATTCAATTAATCGATCCGTTCGCGATCCTGCTTCTCACGCGTTAGTTCGAACAATTAAGAGAGAGAGGGGGCGCGCGATCATTTGAATAAGCAGTTACGCCTCAGCTGTTCACGCGAGTTTACCGTCGATTTGTGTTTTGCACTTTGTTTCGCCGATATAAAGTTTTCTTGGGACAATTACGTGCGTGAGTGCAACGGCATTTCCGTGATAATTAACA